ACAAAATATATAGGTTTGTGCTCGTTCTCACCATACATCATACTTCACTAGGAAGGAAGAACAATGTTATATATAGTTATCAATGGCTCTTTGGTCTAATTTTGAGGGGTGGCATCAAACAATTCTACATCACTCCTTTTCCATGTCTTGATTACCCGGTTAATGAATTATTAGCATTGGAGACCTGTCTCAAGTTGCAGGCTGATAAAGGGTCTAAATCATCACCTATTCATGTTGCTTTGTTTCCACACAACAATTTCAAGGCAACAAATACAGAGGATAGGGTTAGAAAGTTGTTTTAGATGAATATGTTTTCTACAACAAAAACCATTCGAAGTATGAGAATACCTCTTCTTCAGATTACTATAGGAAAACAACAACAAAAGTAAACAAACAAAAATACTATTCAAGCCTTAAGCTAAACATGACAATACCTTAAAAACATATCGGAAGCCCAAAGAGGACAATATTGTGATACATGTTAGACGACGATGTTACACTTCTCAAAACCACGATGCTACAACGATAAACATTGAGGTGCTGTTTGATTTTCTGGAGTAAAAATTCATGAAGACTGCGGACCACCTTTGCAACCCTCTGCAGTAGAAGAGTTGGACCAAACGGCTGCAGACTGTAATAAGAAACGTGTTTGTTTTTTTAACATATGCATACTGTTGCAGATATTAAAAAAATTAAAATAAACTAATTTTATAAATCAAAAATAGTTTTTTAATACAAAAAAATTAATAATGTATAACATTTCAGCAAGAATTAATGATATTTCAATAAAAAATAATGATATTTCAACAAAAAAAAATAAAGATATTTAGCAAAAAATAATGATATTTCATCAAAAATCTATCATTATTCAATATAAAAAAAAAATTCAACAAGAATAAACAAAAAAAAGTGAAATAAAATTTCAACAGCATATAATAAAAATTCCAGCAAGAAAAAAGAAGAAGATGAGGTTGGAAGAGACAGTACAAGTGCTGCGCCAAACAGAGCACGCGCATAGGTTTTTGACTATGAAGACTTCTAAAAAACAAACAGTTGCGAGATGAAAAGTGTTGCGCGTGTGCTGCGCCACGCAACAATAAGAGGTATGAAGAGGGTTTTTCCAAAAAACAAACAGTACCTGAGTGTCTCACACAAAAAATGTGAGCCTAACTATGCCTTAGTATAAATATCAACAATCTACATAGATGAATGGACATAAGACAAAATAATTGTTCCAAGTTGAATATGATGATTAATGAAATGACAATACATTTCAATATGCTTGGTTCTTACGTAAAAAAACTGAATTTTATGCAATCTACATCACACTGCAATTGTTACAATGTAATGTAGTAGGACATGATATCTCAATAACCATAACCACGAGTAACCAACATACAAAAGGATATCACAAGTAAGGATCCATCGGTGATTCGTCGGTCTAATACCATACAAGGTTCCACCGATAATTGGTCATTGTCATATCATCAGTGTTATGCATATATTATACCTTATATATATATACACACACACACACACACACATACATCTTAGGTTTTTGAACTCATATTTATGTAAATATGTGTTTTTATGGTTGAATGTTTATTTTTGAATTGTGTTTTATGTGTTTTGTTTCCTTATTTAAGTGATTGATTTAGAAAAATCAAAATACATAGTTAGATATATAGATAGATCGATTATATAATACTACATCCTTCCCAAATTGATAGTCCACATTTGATTTTTGAAGTCTTTTTTCTTCAACTTTGATCTTAAATATTTTTGTTTTTGATAGATAATACTTAATGCAAAATATATGAATGGATTGTATTTTAAATGTTTTTTCATTGTTATAAGTTTTATCAAGTAACATATAACACAAATAAAAATATTTAAGGTCAAAGTTGAAGAAAAAAGACTTCAAAAATCAAAAATAGACTATCAATTTGGGACGGAGGGAGTAAATAACTAGTCACCATTTGTTTTGAATTGTTATTCGGGAAATTCATAAAAGAATTTTGATTTCTCCTTATCGATCCATGCATGTTATTTGTCCATCTCCTTTTGAACCACACATAAAATCGATCAACTAGCTTCCATTTTTGCATTCGTCATCCAACGTTTCATGTCTATTTATTACATTTTTGGTTGTTTGTATCCACATCTTTTTCGTGACTCTGGACAATCGCGTTAACAGAAGCATGCATCTTCCAATATTAGTTGTCATCGGAAGAGCTGTTAGAAATTTAGAGCTTGAGAGATTGCTTGGAATTCTGAGAATCATGAAAAACACTTTCAAATTAAAGTATTTCGATGGTACTTCCGAAATCAACAATTGAATAAGACTCATAAAATGAGATTCAAGAACAAAGAATGTTATTTATATGAATCTCGTATGTACCAGAATTATGACCAAAAAGTCGGTTTTAGATTTATGTCTGAAAACTGTCACAAGACAGTTTCAAATTGTCATAAACCACCAAAAAAAAACTGTCATAAAAACAAGTATTTGGATAAGGGTTATAATTGGGACAATTTTCTAAAATCTAGATTTCTAATGCTTGGACCCCAACCACGGACTCTACCCTTGGACCTCGCCAAGGGCTGTCGTCCCTTCGTCTCTGCTACCAGGGGCGTTGCCCCCGAACCTCCGTTCGGTCATGGGCTTCTTTCATAAATGACAGTGTACTTTGAATCTGGAACAAACTTAAACAAGTGTGCATCTCGTGTTGGAGGAATTAGGGTTTATGTTGGAGATCTGGATACCACTTGGATCGTGTAAACAGTTTCCGAACTGATATTTCTACCCTATGCATGGGTTGCAAGAAATTCAACCTAGGATAATCCAAGAGGACACTTACAATTCTAGGCACATAAATCGTAAGCCTCATTGCTAGAATGATTCTATGTTTGTTTGAAAAAAAAAATAGCTAATGATTTTTGTATGTATCTTCTCAAAGAGAAGAATGGTTCATTGATAATAAACGAGATTAGGATTTGCCTCTTAGGGTTGGTCGTCATTGGTTGCTTTGGAAGTAAGTCAGGAAAATCTGGATTTTAATGAGAATTTAGGGTTTCCAAAACTAACGAATTTCGTTAGTTTTACCATAATCACCCTCAAGAATTTGAATTTCCCACTATGTACCCGTATGTAAAATTCGGAGACCTTTAGCGGGACCCCAGCCAGGGGCTCTGCTTCTTGGACCTCGCAAAAGGAGTGTTGCCCCTTTGGAAACCCTAGACTCAGGGCGTTGCCCTCAGACCCCCGACTTATCGTCGAACCGATTTTTAATTCGATCTTATACAAGTATGCACTCCATACAAACCCGTACATATATTAGAGTACAAATTATGAAGCCCTTAGCTCAATGTTAAGTCTAATTACATAAAATGACATGGTGATACTAAAATCACCAACATTCCGCACCACCATTACTTGTTTAATGTTTATCATAATTATTTTTGGTTAACAATTTAATTCATTACATTTAAATAATATTAGTGAAACAGAGTTTGCAAGTTGTTTAAGTATATAGACAGCTTTGCACCCATTAGAAGACATTTTAATGTAAATCTTTGTGTTGGTTTGGAGAAAGTGTTTGATGGAAGATGGTCTTTTAAGTTATTGTTTTAAGGGAAAATGACTTGTAAGGGTAACTAAGTATTAGATATGTACAAAAAATACCATTGAACTTTTTTTTTGTACACATATCACCAATCAACTATAGCTTTTGTACACATATGACCATTAAACTTCACATTTGTTCAAAAAATACCATTATGTTACCGGTAATAGTAGGTCACCAGCCACGTAACATGCCACGTGGCATGCCATGTGGCTGCTGACGTGGATTTTATAGTATATTATGTACACATTATACCATTAAACTATTTTTTGTACACATTATACCATTAAAGTTTTATTTGTGTACATTTTACCATTAAACTTTTTGTACATATTTTACCATAAATGTTATATAATTTATTCAAAAATATCATTTCAAAAAATACATATTTTTACATAAATGGGTTTTCCATCACCTATTGTGACCGCCTGATTTTGTAAGGTTTGGGGGAAAGGGTTTGTTTTTGACAATGATACTAAGCACTTTCTTTTACAACCACATTGTAAATTTATGTTGGTCATACATTGATTGAAACCCACAAGGTTTGAACTTGAGACTTCTATCTGGAGTGGTGAAGAAATACTCATTTGTTCATTATTTTAGCTAATGTCTAATAAATATATTCTTATAAGTCATTTTCTTTGTAAACTACGTTTGAGACACACTTATAAACTCATGAAACATTTTGTACATGTTACCTTATTATAATTCCCCCGCTTTTTGATTATGGTTGATGATTAAAAAAGTGCATTGAAATTATGTCGTTGTTATCGATAGGAAAATGACTTATAATGATAAGTTTACTAAAATTTAGAAAATCAGTAAAATCCACATCAGGCGATGGGAAACTTACTTTTATGTAATAATTTGTATTTTTTGAAATGATACTTTTTCAATAAATTATATAACATTAATGGTAATATGTGTACAAAAAAGTTTAATGGTAAAATGTATAAAAAAAGTTTAATGGTATAATGTGTAAAAAAATAGTTTAATGGTATAATGTGTACATAATAAACAGTAAAATCTACGTCAACAGCCACATGACATGCTACGTGGCTGATGACCTATTATTATCGGTAATATAATGGTATTTTTTGAACAAATGTGAAGTTTAATAGTAATGTATGTACAAAAGTTATAGTTGATTGGTGATGTGTGTACAAAAAAAATTCAATAGTATTTTTTATACAAATCTAATACTTTGTTACCCTTACAAGTCATATTCTCTTGTTTTAACAACTTTAATAAAAAGGTTGTTAGGTGGGAGTACGATTAAGTACTAGGTGGTGACAAACATAAGCATAAGAATTTAAGTCAACTAGAAAAATGGTTTAAATATAAGAAAACAAAAGGCTTTATTTGAAATAAACAAACAAATATTACGATTTAATAGAAGCCGAACAGAAATTCAAAATGTGGCTCGAAATCCGAAACAATAATCTACCACATAGCATCTTAAGAAACATGATCATTTTAAAACTATCGTTGTTTAGACTTAGACATATGTCATCAAGTTTGTGATTATCCCATTATTAAAGCTATTATTTTTTGATCATATCTTCAATTATACCCTATCCGGTTACTTTTATGATTATCTATAGTTAAAATAATATTAATTATTTCTTAAGAATACAAGGAGGTATCGTAAATTTCTATGCGTATTTACATTCTTCTTCTGTATCGGTTCTTCCCCCTCTTTCTTCGTATGATCCCCGCCATCCCATGTGATTCTACTTCTTCTTCTAAAAGCATCAATCACAATTCTCTGTAATCTCACGGCGGAGATCCAATTTCAACGTTACACTAGCGGCCGTCGGAAGGTAGGACCGGTCGGACCTTTTTACAGACGGCTCAATTTTATCCACCATGAATACCGAGTAGTAAGTACATGATCTCTCATTCTCTCTTTCAAATCTCATTACATTGTTTTTTTATTTATCAGTTTAAATTTTTTATTAGTCAATTCAATTTTTTGTCTTCGTGGAATCATTGTTTGGATCTGCTTCAATTCTTGTTTTTAGCAACGGTGATAATTTTCTTAGGGATCAGCTTGTCATTGCTATGGATTTGGAGTAGATCTTTCTCTTCTATCAATTTTTCGTATGAACGATCTCTTATGGATGTAAGAGGATTATGTGTAGATAATTCGTGTCTGTTCTGGGATCGAGTTAACGCCAATACATTCTAATGTACAGTACTGTGAATGGATTAATGGTGAATTATGAAATTTTAGTGTTGATTGAGAATGATAATCAATGATTTTGTATCCGATTTTGATCAATGATAGAATGAGTCTTTTAATGCATACATCTATTTATCTCAAAGACTTATTTCATGAGAGCATACCTGAATAAGTTCGAATATCGACTATACATAACCCATTTTATGCCTTGCAGTGATTATTTATTCAAGCTTCTCCTGATTGGAGATTCAGGAGTTGGTAAATCATGTCTTCTGCTTAGATTTGCTGTAAGAAAATCATCTCATTTATAATTAGTTCCCTTCTTATTTATTGTTTTTCATTTTCTAATATTATCTCTAATGGATAGGATGACTCATATCTTGACAGTTATATCAGCACAATCGGTGTCGACTTCGTAAGAATTTTAGTTTATGTCATAATGTCATATCAATTAAAACATACAACATTTTGTTATGTTTATCTTTGTATATAATCAAGTTTTAATTTCCTTGTTATCTTTATAGAAAATCCGCACTGTGGATCAAGATGGAAAGACCATTAAGCTTCAAATTGTGAGTATTTTCTACAAATATATAAATTTAATCTTCTAATTGCTTCATAAACCAAAATCATATTATCTATCTCCCACATGCAATGCAGTGGGACACTGCTGGACAGGAAAGGTTCAGGACCATTACTAGCAGCTACTATCGTGGGGCCCACGGCATTATTGTATGTTTCTTTAAACAAAAAATTAAGATATCTTGCATCGTTTACAACTTTTTAATATACCTTGTATTTGGATTGTTTGCAGATAGTCTATGATGTTACTGACCTAGAAAGTTTCAATAATGTGAAACAATGGTTGAGTGAAATTGATCGTTATGCAAGTGAAAATGTAAACAAACTTCTAGTTGGTAACAAATGTGATCTTACTGAAAGTAGGGCTGTTTCATTTGATACTGCAAAGGTACAAATCTATATTTCTTTGTCCCCTTTCTATATTTGTGTGTGTGCATGATTTTTTTGTCCCTCTTTTGATTATTAGGAATTTGCGGATGAAATTGGCATTCCATTTATGGAAACTAGTGCCAAAGATGCCACCAATGTGGAGCAAGCTTTCATGGCTATGTCTGCTGATATCAAGAACAGGTATTCTCCCACGTCTAATGGTTATTCACTACAATATATTATAAGTTCAAAAAGGACTAATTTTACATTATAAGCACCGATATATATAAAACTGAATGCTTCAAACTAATAAAGGTATGGTTTGGGTATGATGGAATGGAATGGTTTATTCCATAGAATAGAGAAAAATCTGTTTCTTTTGTCGATGGAATGGAGTGGACCAGTACTCAAGGAATGTGATTCCTTCTATTTTGTTAATTTTCATGTCTTAGTCCTGCAATGTTCATTATTTGCATTCCATCATGGAATGAAATTAAAATTTGCATTATGACTCATTTTTTATTTATGTAATATTTTTAATGAATACTTTTAAACTTCTTTTAGTATTTCAATTAAATTACAGTTTTTTTTTTTTTTTTTTTTAATTACGAGAAAAATACTATCTTTATTATAAATCATTTGATATTTAATGAGCTTTTATTATCTTAAAATTTTAATTTTGTCAATGATTGTTTAAGTAATGTCTATTGTAGAGTTATAATTATAAGTATTTGTATTTGTATCTTTAAGATATAAAAAATTCAGATGAATCTTTATTCCATTTATAGAGGCCAACAAAGATGATCAATGGAATGCAATGGCTATGTATTCAATTCTTAGAGAACATACCAATAAAAAAAAAACTAAATTTACCATGAAATCATAAAATATAATGATAATTAAAAATACTTTTAGTTATTTTTGGAAGATATTGAAAAATAAATTTAAATGAAGTTTTGAAATATATGAAAGTTGTTATTTTTATTGAAGATAAAAATACACACATCCCTCATGGAAAGAAAATAAGTCCAGGAGAAGGAATCAAATTCCGTGAGGAATGCTCCATTCCATTCCATTTTTTATTACTGCGTACCAAACACTACCTTACTTTGCTTATTCCATTCCATTCATTAGTCATTCAGTTCCATCCAACCAAACACACCCAAAAAGTTATCCTAATTTCTGTGACAAATATGTGTTAAGTTATTTCTTATAAATAAAGATTTTATGTGGGTCAAACTTCAGGATGGCAAGTCAACCTTCAACAAACAAGAGGCCGCCTACTGTGCAGATCAAAGGGCAACCAATTAGCCAAAAGAGTGGCTGCTGCTCATCTTAGCTTATTCATTCATCACCATTCATTTCCAGGTTTTTGCAAGTCTTTATGATTATTATTATTTGGGTTGTAAACTGTAAGGATTGTTTACTGCTAGTGTTCATTTGCTTGCAGTTACAATCTGTTTGCAACCATAAATCCATTTCTGTTTGAATTTTGGCATACTTATAAATAGTATTTTTGAATAAGATACCAATTGGGTAGTCTCTGTTTTATTTTATAATTTCCTTGTGATAATGGTTTATTGTCCCTTGATTACATGTATTTTATTTTTGACTTATGGACTTAATGGGTTAAACATTCAATGGTGACAACTACGCACGGTTGTTTGTTTTTACTTTATCTGGACATAGTCACTACTTAATGGATTGATGTATTAAGACACTAACACTTAACCTATTTGCCCTGTTTGTTTTTCTTCCTAACTCCCTTTATATTATTGAAATTGATAAATATTGTGAAATTTGTTTTTTTAGGAATGTAAGGTTAAAATACTCATTTAGTTATGTATTCCGTATAGAAAAGAAATATATGCTATTATATATACAATATTTTATCCAGACGTCTTTGCTCATTAAATGACTTTACTCATATGGGATTAAATGAGGGAAAACCAACAACTTCATGGTTTGATTTAGATTTTTATAGTCAAGTTTGGCATGCCATAAGGATGTTTGGAAATTTTCTAATAAGCTAGTTTCACAAAATTTTAGTATTTTAAATAACTGTATAAATGCTTCGAGAATTATTTGAATAACAAAATTCATTATTTAACCATATTAAAAATTAGTAATATGACAAATTTGTAATTATTTTTTAACATGATGAGTTACTGCGATAAATTCATAACATAATAATGTAATGTTTAGTCTATCTATATGTATCGGTTTCTTCTGTATATAAATCATCTATAAAATAGGAGTCACATATCATTTTGGTGCATGTCGTCACCATGTTAATAACCTAATTAAAAAGCTTAAGATATATCCACAACATGACTGCATTTCACATATTTATGAGACCTACTTATTATAAATTTATAAGTTTTGAATGGAAAACTCCCACTATAGAGAACAAACTTTTCTTTATAGTTTTTTGGAAATGAATTTTTAAAATCCATGCTATAGTGTAAAGTTTAAGTTTACATATATTTCATCATGTAGCTAAACTAAAAATGAAGCTAACTCAAAAATAATCAAATGAACTGGATATTGTATGCAAAAGTATGCCAAAAACGAGTTCACTCTGAATGTATAGCGAGCTTGCTTGGTCCAAGTGACTTATCAGGGAATTTTCATTTTTACTTGCTTTAGCCACATATTTTGAATGAAAATAAGCTTATTTTTTCCAAGAAGTTCCAGAAGTATGTGCTCTCGAGGTGCCTTTTGTGTCTCTGTGTGTGTAAATGATGAATAGAAGGTGAATTCAAGTGTTCTTAGCAAGGACCAACACTTCAAAAATCAAGTAATTATGGTTTATCCATGAATTTCAAATGTTAGTAATGAACTTGCACGTGGAATTAAAGGCGAATTAGGAATAATTAAGTGGTATTAACATTCTTTCTAGCAACAAGTACATATATTGAACTTAAAATATGGGTTTTCATGGTGGTTAGGTCAAGAACCACATAAATAAGCCTCAAAGAATTATGTATTGGTAATTTGATGTAAGAACATCTATGTTAGTGGTATATTATAAATAGTTTGTCATGAGAATTGGAAGGTAACTACGACTATGGGTGATCATTTGGACCGGATCGCAACCGGAGTTGACCGACTCTTGGATCGAACCGGTTTCAGAGAATACTGTGGACCGTGGGCTGGACTGGATGAGACTTACTGGGTCCAGGTCCAAGTCTGCGTTTTCTGGTTCTTTGATCCGTTTGAACTGGTACAACTTTACATTCATACAGTACAACTTGTTAAAACGTGCTTTTGGATTTGATACAACTCGCTATATGTTGTTGGGTTTAATACGTTACAATTCGTTAAAATGAATGCTTTTTTTGGGTTTGATATGGTAAAACTCATAAAAATGAATATGTTTTCGTTTATTGTGTCAATTGGACCGGTTGAACTTTGATTGTTTATACGTTATACCATTTGTTTGAAGGATTGTAACTTATTGAATATAACACCAAAAACAACAAAATTATAGTTTAAAATCATCGACAAACTCTAAATTATACGTTGGAGAAAAGCCTATGTCGATGCGGTTTAAAACGAATGAGATATGTATGTTTAAAATTTTTTACAGAATACTACAATTTAAGTTTCTTGCTAAAAAGCTGAAATATTTTAAGCTTTGATATTTCATCTTTGAAACATTGTAACTCATCGAATATAAAACCAAAACAACAAAAATATAGTCTAAAATCATCTACAAACTCTAAATTTCACGTTAGAAAAAACCGTATGTCAATCCGACTTAAAACGAATGAGATATCATTGTTTACACTTATTGCTGAAAAGCTGAAATATTTCATTTTTGATATCTCATCTTTGAAGCGTTGTAACTTATCGAATATAACACCAAAAACAACAAAATTATAGTATAAAATCATCTAGAAACTCTAAACTACACGTTAGAAAAAACTGCATGTCAATCTGATTTAAAACGAATGAGATATATCTATTTAAAGAATTTCATAGAATACAAAAGTTTAAATTTCTTGCTGAAAAACGGAAATATTTCAGCTTTGATATCTCATCTTTAAAGCGTTGTAACTTATCGAATATAACACCCAAAACAACAAAATTATAGTATAAAATTATCTACAAACTCTAAATTATACGTTAGAATATACCGCATGTCAATTCAAATTAAAACAAATAAGATATGTTTGTTTAAAAAATTTCACAAAATACAAAAATTTAAATTCCTTGCTGAAAAGCTGAAATATTTCAACTTTGATATCTCATCTTTGAACGATTGTAACTCATCAAATATAACACCAAAAACAACAAAATTATAGTCTAAAATCATCTACAAAATTCTAAATTACACGTTGGAGGAAACCGCATATCAATCCGACTTAAAAAGAATGAAATATGTTTGTTTAAAGAATTTTACAAAATACAATTTTTTTTTAAATAAGCCGGTCCAAAACCAGATTTTACACGAAACCGGCCGGACCGGACCGATTTTGCTCAAATCCTAGAACCGAGAACTGGCCAGGGGTCCAAAAAACAGTCTGGTCGGGTCCACGGGTCCGAATGCTCACCCCTAACTACGACTATACTACATATGATTTTCAAAGATAGAATGTTAACTTTAAGAAGTAAAAAATTTAACTATTAGGCTAGTTGTGGTTATTTACATCTTGAGATGCTAGGAATTTAAATGGTTAGCACATGGAGTGTTATGAATTTAGTTGACTGGGAATTGAACATTACTTAATGTGTCTTTAGATAAGAAAATGAAATGAATGATTGGTAATTGAATTAGAATTCTATCATTTAACTTTACAAGACAAATTGTGAAGCATCTAATCAATGTAAATGATGGTGTATAGAAGTTGAAAAAGCATGTTTACTTAAGTATTCAAGTTACATAAAAAAAGCATATGATAAAAGTATGAATGGAATTGTTAACAAAGTTATGAAATGTCCCCATTATTGAAAGCTTTATGTTATTACACCATTATGCATTGCATTTCACGATGTGTGATTGAAATGATAAATGATAAAAGAGAGTATAGACACATGATGTCCCAAAGATGGGATCTGGAAGACTATCGAGGTGATACCTCCATCACGATGTAGATATTTATGATTAGGATGCCATGATAGGTTGATATGTTCTTATCTTGACCCCGACATGAGGTGTCATTTTTGTGAGAAATCCTAATATATAAAAAGCAAGATCGATATAATGATAAGAATAAAGGAAAAGTTGAAATGAAATATTTGATAAGGCCTAACGTATGGATATAAACTCCCTGAACTTACATTGCATACATTAAATATATGAATGATATATGATTTAACGTAACGATCTATGAATTATTTGTTGGAAATAGTGTATAAGGTTATTAGTTAGTTGCTAATATTTCTAAATAATAATAGGGTCCTTTTAAGTTGGCCTCATGACATTTTTAACATGAAGGAAATGGAGAAAATAAGCTGTTAATTTATTAAGGAATTAATAAATTAATTTGAAATTATTTTGCCAATTAGTTAAATTGTTTTAATTAATTAAAGGGCTTGAATATTAATTAATCCAAGCAATTAATTGTAATATTCCAAAAGCTCCTGGAGAGTTGATATGGACGACTTCTGCATGTCCTTAGATAATGATATGGCAGGTTTCAGATAAGGCAAAGATAATCCTTAGAGTTTGAAACCATAAAGGATTTATATGTTACCTATAAATAGAGGGCTTGAAATTAAACCCTATATGACTTTTGGAGCCTCTAATTTTCGTTCTACCTCCTTTGTTTCTTCCCCATATAAGAAAATCATAACCCCACTCCAGGGTTATGTAATTTTCGAATAAATCCTAATAGGGTTTTCCTTGTTTTGCTTTTGAAGTCTTGGTTCTGACTACATTAGAGGATTTTTACTTTGGTCTCTCTATCCATTATAAGGTTGTGGATCATATGATCTAACGTTCAAGAGGTTAGTAGTTCTTTCGTGTAGTTTGATTTTAAAGTACGTTGCTTAAACTAGTAAAACTTAGATTCTAGGATGCATGTGCACTTAGGTAAAATTTTTGATTATTCTGCTACCTTTAGATAGTGCACTTGATGTAATAAATCCCCAATATTGGTATCAAAGGCAAAATGTTTTAATTTTTGGCACATATTTTGTAAAATTGAAAACTGAAAAGATACCTGCTTAGTACAGGGTGCGGCGTGCCTACCTGACTTTTAGGTTCCATATTTTTCCTATTTTTCGAAGGTTTGTGGATTAACCTCTTGATTAAATATTGTTTTAATTGTTTAAATATGAATATTCAAATAAAGAAGTTAGTTTAGAATTTTATTTAATCAGAATTAGAATTTAAATATTAAATTAATTAAGTTTGAATATTAAATTAATTAAATTTGAATATTATTTAAACATGAATTAAAACTTGAATATTTATCTTGAATATTATTTAATTATAGAATTTAAATTAGAATATTTGAAGGATTAATTAAAATTTAAATATTGTTTAATAAAGGTTTAAACTAGAATACTTAAAAGGATTTAAATAAGACTTTAAATAATATTAAATTAGATAATCAAATTTGAATATTTGAAAGAAAATAAAATAAAATTAAAAGGTTTAAATTTAATATATGGTATAATATACTATGTGTATTACAATTATACCACATGTGTCCTCATAAGTTAATTAAAAACATTATCATC